CACTTAGGGTGTTTACCAAATGCATAAATAAGGCAAAAAGTGCTTATAAGCCAGTTTGACCAGCTTATAATCTTAGCCAAACACCCTCTTAATATGTGACTCATCTTCTAGCTCTTAAAATTGAGATAGTAATTGCGCGCATTTTCAAGATTTCGAGCTTATATGAACAAACTAACTTAGAATCCGTTTTAAATCTTGAATTTTTGACGACCCCTAAACGTGCTTAATGTTTACGATTAACCGAAAATCATATTGTGATTTAAGATATAAAAATGATTGAAATAAGTTGAGAATAAGGGAGAAAGGGAACAGAAGAAAGGCTGTGAAGTTGCATTATTTTATGCGTGTGAATTAGTGAATGAGTTAGCAATATTTTCATGATAAACGGGCATAATTATCAATTCAATATTATTATCAGTAGAAAGTTCTCAAATATAGATATTATATATATTAAGATAAGGCAACTAGTAGAAAGAAAATTTTAAAACATTGTGACAATTTCAGTAACTTAACATTAAAAATTTGTTGGACAATATGTCACAGTTCAAACGTTAAGGGGTCGTTTGCTTTGAAGACAAGTTATGCTAGAATTAATTATGTTGTGATTAGTTATACAGGAATTAGTTATCCTAATATTATTTCTTATTGAGTGTTTAGTATGTTGTTAATCCTGCGATTATTATTTTACTGTTTTATCCTGGGATAACTTATCATTGGATTACTATTCCATCCTCTGACAAGTATAAGTTATTCCGGTACTATTTTTAATCCTAGGATAACTTATCTGTGATGACCCGATAGGTCATCTCATATTTTAGAACTAAATTCTGTGTTCCGAAGCCTTAAATATCTTATTTTAGCCTTTCTCGATTTGCGTGCACGGTCTGGGTATTTTTTCGGAAGGCTTATATGTTAAAAACTGATAAAAATAAGAATTTTTGCCTTCAAAGTCAAATTGAGTTGACTTTGGTCAATGTTTTGAGCAAACGGACCCGGATCCGTATTTCAACGGTCGCGGTGGGTCTGTATCGTAATTTGGGGCCTGGGCGTATGCCCAGAATAGAATTATGAGGTCCCTAGCTCGAGCTATGGTTTTTGTTGAAAATTGAAAGTCTAAAAGTTTAATGGTTTTTAAGAATTGATTGATGTTTGGTCTTGTTGATACCGGGTTCGTATTTTGGTTCCGGAGCCCGGTACAGGTCCATTATAATATTTATGACTTGTCTGTGAAATTTGATGAGAAATGGAGTTAGTTTGACGTGATTCGGACGTCCGGTTGTGGAAATAGAAGTTTTAAAGTTTTCTTGAAAATTTCATTTGATTTGGTGTTCAATTCGTAGCTCTAGGTGTTATTTTGGCGATTTGATCGTACGAGCAAGTTCGTATGATGTTACTTGTGTGCATGTTTGGTTTGGAACCCAGAGGACTCGGATGAGTTTCGGATAGGCTACAGAGTGAAAATTGATCTTAGAACTCAGCTGGTGTTTCAAATTTTTGTTGCAAGCCTCACACCTTGCATTTGTGAGGTCAATCATCGCATTTGCGACCACTGTTGGGTTCGCATTTGCGATCTACTCAACGCAAATGTAAAGAGTAGCTGGGCCATCATATTCTCACATTTGCGAGGCTAGAGTCGCATTTGCGACTCACTGCTATTTTGAAAATCTTCGCATTTGCGAAGGAACGACCGCATTTGCGAGGGGCGCAGGGTTCGCATTTGCGACTATTTTATCGCATTTGCGATCTCTGGGATTTTTGAGGGAGTTCGCAATTGCGACCTCTTTCTCGCAATTGCGATATTCGCAAATGCGAACATGGCATCGCATTTGCGATATCTGCAGCTGGGTAAATATGACTTAGACGGTATTTTTGATTCATTCTTCAAATTTTTAAACTCAAGAACCCTAGAGACGCTTTTCCAAAGAACTTTTCTTCCCCAAATCATTGGTAAGTGATTCTAAACTAGTTTCTCTTACACTAATTTTCCTAAGATTTCAACCTAAAATCTAAAGTTTTCATTGTAGAAATTGGGGGTTTTTGGTAGAATTAGGGATTTAGACCTCAAATTGAGGTCGGATTCCAAAATAAATTACATAACCGGGCTCGGGGGTAAATGGATAATCGGGTTTTGGTCCGAATTTCAGGTGTTGACCAAGCGGGCCCGGGTGTTGACTTTTGTTGACTTTTTCAATAATGACCTAAATTGAATTCTTTACAATCGCGGGTAGTTCCTAAGGCTTAATTTTAATCGTTTGGTTGGTAATTTACTAGATATTGTTGGTTCGGAGGCTTGTTTGAAAGGCAAAGTTGTGGTTGAGCTTTGAGTGGTTTTTGGAGCGAGGTAAGTGTTGTGTCTAACCTTGACTTGAGGGAATTAGGAACCTTCAGACTATGTGCTATGTAATTTTAATGTGAGCGGCGTATATGTGAGGCGACGAGTGCTTATACGCCGCCGAATTATCTGATTTCCCTGATTTACTGCTTTCTCTTAATTATTTCCTTTCCTGTCTTAACTGTTATATGCTCTAAATGCTTTCCATGCTTAATTGCTACTTGTTATTCAATATCTTCTCCTGTTCACGATGTTAGTTCTTCCATAATTTCATGATCCCCTGCTATTTGTTTAAATTGACTTACTTGCACTTTTAAATTGTCAATTGCTGGATTGGTTTCGCTGTGTAGTATTACTCGCGTAGGTTTCTTTACTGTACAAGTTCCCTTTTAATTCAGTTTAGTATTTATTGACCGTAAAAGCTTTGTGGTTGAACTATTGATTTGATTGTGCTTTGAGTATTTGGTACTGATATGGTGGGATCGGGCTGCGCGCCGCAACAGATGTAATAAGGGTGGAATAAGGGTGAATATGTTCTATATGGTGGGATCGGATTACACGTCGTAACAGGTGGAATGAGGGTGGATTGACATGGCGAAATAAGGGTGAATTATGATATTGATATTGACATATGGTGGGGATCGGGTTGCGCGCCGCAACATATATATATTATTTACTGTTGTTGATATTGTTATGGTGAAATAAAGGAGGATTCTATGTTGTCTGGTAGGATCGGGTTGCGCGCCGCAACAACCTATATGTTTCCATTCTTGAGCTGTGTTGGTTTTCCGGTATTTGTATTTGAGCTGTTAAAGATTGGTAATTTTGGACGGCACTGGTTTACTTTTGAGGCCGTGGTTATTATTTTCAGTTAACCGTTAAATTCTATTCAGTATTTTCTATTTTCTATCATTATTATATACTGCGTACATGTCGTAGTGTAGGTGACCCGCCTTAGCCTCGTCACTACTTCGTCGAGATTAGGCTCGGCACTTACCAGTACATGTGGTCGGTTGTACTGATACTATACTCTGCACACTATGCAAATTTTGGAGTCGGTCCCAGCGGCGGTTATTAGAGTGCTCGGATTGAACATTTGCAGAGACTTGAGGTACGGCTGCTCAGCGCCCGCAGCTCCTGGAGTCCCCTTCCTCTTTCTATTTAGTTGTGTATTTTCATTCAGACAACTTTGTATTTATTTCAGACCTTGTATGTACTACTCTAGTAACTCGTGCACTCGTGACACCAGGTTCAGGAATTTGTAATAGATATTTGGCGGGTTTAGCTTCGGCATTTACACTTTAGATTATTTTAGTTATTTCATTTCTTTCTTAATATTATCATTTAAATTGTTAAAAGAAATAAATTGTTCTAACGTTGGCTTGCCTAGCAAGTGAAATGTTAGGTGCCATCACGGTCCGATGGTGCGAATTCCGGGTCGTGACATTTCCCAAGATTAGTAACAAAACAAGGGATAATGCGGTACTAAATTTTTATACCAAGATTAATTTGGGGGAAGTGCACAGTTAGCCAGTAATAAGACATGTATTTACTTTTAAGCCACTATTTAAAATATTTTTAGTCTTTAGCCACTGCTTTAATAAACTTTTACCCACCCGAACAACAATACCCTTCTGCTATAATTCACTGAAACCTACAAAAATTAAGGACACTTGGTCCTGAAGTTAGAGTTGGAAGTTCAAAAATTAACGGCAGGTAGTCCTTAACTTAGAGTTACAAGCACAAAACCTAAGGACATGTAGTCCTGAACTTAGAGTTACAAGTTCAAAAGTTAAGGATAGGTAATCCTAAACTTAGAGTTACAAGCTCAAAAACTAAGGACAGGTAGTCCTTAACTTAGACTTACAAGCTCATAAATTAAGGACCACTAGTCCTGAACTTACAGTAACAAGCTCATAAGTTAAGGACACTTGGTCCTGAACTTAGAGTTGGAAGTTCAAAAATTAAGGACACTTGGTTCTGAAGTTAAGAGTTGGAAGTTCAAAAATTAAGGACAGGTAGTCCTTAACTTAGAGTTACAAGCACAAAAATTAAGGACAAGTAGTCTTGAACTTAGAGTTCCAAGTTCAAAATGTAAGGACATGTAGTCCTGAACTTAGAGTTACAAGTTCAAAAGTTAAGGACATGTGGTCCTAAACTTAGAGTTACATGCTCAAAAACTAAGGACATGTAGTCCTTAACTTAGACTTACAAGCTCATAAATTAAGGACAGCTAGTCCTGAACTCAGTCGGAGGAGTATGAGTAAGGACACTACCATCTTTTCATATTAATTTTAATAGACTAGTGGCTACTTTTGCTCGGCATTAAAAATACTAGATAAAAAGTAAATACCATTTTAAAAAATAGCTACCCCACGCAATTTTTACGATTGTTTTTGCTTATCCAATCGTACCTAACGACTCCTAATATTACGGAGTTCAATTCAACTGATCTCAATTATGGCCCAAAAAATAACAACTCCAAACGATGACGTAAAATTTAACATTGAAAAATGAAAAGACAACAACAAAAAATAGAGGAACGAAAGTAGGAGGGAAAAAATGTGGCATAATTATTGGAAGTTGTATAATCCTTGCATATTAAACAACCATTCTGTGTACTGTAAATTCTTTTACAGAAATTCTCTGATATACAGCATATAGAGATGGTTACACTTCAAACTCCACGGTCAATTAATTTATGTAGAATTGCCTGCAAATGAGGAAAATCAACATGCTAATTAGTACTGGTTGTCAAAAGCACCAAATAATTTGAAGGCTTATTTGAATAATAATAATTATTAATAACTCGAAAAACGAATAAGTAAAAGGGAGAAACAAATGACTTTTCAAATGTTTTAATCAACAAGCCAGGAACTAGTAGACCTTTTTATGCATATGCATTTAAAAGTTAGAGTAAGATTTATGCGTTATCGGATATGAAGATGGATACTAAAGACAATTTTTCTCTACTTGTTGCTACTGCTTCGTTCCATCTATTTTCTGGCTCTTAGTTTGTTGTTACTATTTTTCTGGCCCTTGTTGATATTTGCTTGTTTCTACTGTTTCTTTCCATCTTTCTTGAGCCGAGGGTCTTATCAGAAATAGCCTCTCTACCCTCACAGGATAGGGGTAAGTTCTGTGTACACACTACCCTTCCCAGATCTCACTTGTGGAACTTCACTGGATTTTTTGTTGTTGTTGTTGTTGTTGCTTATACTGACTGACAAGTGTGCTTGTTTCCATCACGAGAGTGACATCCACAACCAACCTAGTATATTTCAGACTAAAAGGGTAGTCCGGTGCACTAAGCTCCCGCTATACGCGGGATCCGGGGAAGAGCCGGACCACAAGGATCTATTGTACGCAGCCTTACCCTGCATTTCTGCAAGAGGTTGTTGCTACGGCTCGAACCAGTGACCTCCTCGGTATACTTGAGACTAAAAGAATATAATTGTTCTTGAGAGTAACTTACTGGACATGAACGGTATGATTTTAGTCCCTGATGTAGTTCATATGAGGAGATCAAAAGCCTCACTGGACGAAACTCAACAGATTGGCCATGCCCTCTATTGTCAACCAAAGAGATCAATTGGCGTTGTAAAAGATGTTCAAATGCCTGGAAAGAAAGTAACTATTTGTCAGTATAACTTTAAAGATCCAAAGTTGAATGTTATACAAATATTTTGCATTTCAGTCCTTGCTATACACACCCGGAGGCATACATTCCGTGCATAATAATCACTTGCTTGGAACGAATCTTGTACGGTTTTGTACTCTGGAAGGCATGATAACATGGTCAGTCGCATAAAATTCACACTATTAACATAAGAAGGGATCATGTAGTAGTCAAACCTTTCATTACTGAATTGAAGTTGGTAGTCTCTTGCTTTTTGACTTCCAACCTCCTCAAGCAAACAAGAATATATAGCTCTAAAATGGAGCAATCTGCATCAACAAATTGAGAATCACGCTGTTTTCAGTTTGATTCGTCTTGGTGGTGGCCTAGCGGTGGAGGGTATTCATATTATAAAATGGTTTGCGAGTGACTCACACGATATACAAAATGGTTTGCTAGTGACTCATACCACATAAAAAAATGTCGATTTTTTAAAAAAAAAATATTAAATGAAAAGAGGGGCGAAGTGCTACAAAAATAACTCTGTTCTATCTTTTAGTCTATATATAAGAGGAGATAATACGTAACCGATTCTCTGTGAGTGACTCACACCATATCTCAAACAGTATGTACTATTGGGGCCTAATCAAATTTCCAAGCAATTTTACGGCTCACAATGACTGAGACTATTGTGTCAGGAGAAGATATGTGAATAGCTGAAGAGGTCGAGTGGCGAAGGAAATTTAAGAGGAAGTGATGTGGAAAAGAAGGTGAGTCCGAACTAACTTTCCAGAAGAAGCTAGTCAACACTCAGCACAGAATACATAATGACATACCTTTCAAGGCTTCCAACTTGGGTTGCCGTTGAATACTTGAGAGTGCTGTCTTAAAGTTATCAAGTGATAAAAAACCAGATTTTGTATCCATATGGCACACAGCAGCAAACCTAATGAAAATTATCATACAATGAGTTTTCATTAAAAGAACAGATGTTTGATGCAGCACTGTGAATGCAGCAAATAGGTAGTTCAACGATAGGTAGACTTACAGAAATCTCAATAGATGGTTCAAAGTTGAATCACACTCACATAATGATGTAATGATGTCTTTGAATTTGTCATCCGACAAAGTATTCTAATAAATATTAAGGATAATTTAATATCTGCTAGCAAAAAACTGATCATAATTCGTCAAATTGTAGCAAATTTGATTCTTGTTTTTATGTCTAACCTAAAAGAGAGGTTTCCAAAACGAAACGAACTATTTTAAACCTTGAGTTACAAGAGAAGGACAAGCATTTCGAGTATCTCATTTAGGCTTAGCACAAATGAGTTATTACCACTGTTCTAAAGGATACCCCTATACTTAGCTGAGCATTTCTGAGCCTCACTCTTCTTACATCTTGTCGATTGCTCTCTCTCACTCTCTTTTCAACTTTTCTGGTCTTCTGGTATCATCTCACTTTAATTCATTCGTTGACAATGAAAAGTGTAACGAGTGAAAGGATACAAGAAGCTTTGTGTTATAAGCAGCTACATATTGAGAAGGAAGTTCTGACTCTGTTGGCAGTAGTAAAGCGTGCTACAAAATTCTGATATACAGACTGTCAGTATTGATAGAAATTCTGGCAGGCAGTAAATGAGGAACCAAGGTATGCAACGAGAAGTTACTTTTGCAAGTCTTCTTGCGAAGAGGGTAGAAACAACAGCTTTCTATGTGAGAAACGAGACCTTACTCTCTTCTCTAAGAGTTGATCGGCATCCTGCACAACACAAGTTTCACCACTACTTAATTACTCATTACTTCAAAAAACGTGTAGCTATATGTATTTAAATGACTCAAATGTGCATTAATGCAAAGGCAACTATTTTACAATCAAANAAAAAAGGAAAAAGAAAAAATGAAATCGAGCATGCACATTTGATTTTTAAGTCCCAACAACAACAACAACAACATACCCAGTATTATCCCACACCGTGGGGTCTGGGGAGGGTAGTGTGTACGCAGATCTTACCCCTACGCAGACATAATAATGTTGAGGATTGTACGGTTCCTAGAGAAATAGAACGCGCAGAAAAAATATTAATCCTAAAACTAAGGAACATACCAATCTGCAACTCACACCAATGACAACAGCTTGCGACGTTACAGACTGCATTACATCTAGCAAGCTATAGAGTAATCGCTGTTTACCCTGCAAATTGCAAAGACATCCAATTCTGAGAATTTGACATATTTTCTCATATTTTTCTTCACTACATGAGAATCTTACCTGTGTAAAAAGGTCAAACTCATCCAACACAAAGATAATGGTTTTATGTGCCAACCCGCACTCCCTGATAAGAAATTACAGTAGAATGAGCACATCCACCAGGAGAAGAAAAAACGAGTACACGTTTTAATTGAAGATTACCTAATTTAAACATTCATTTTTCAAAAGGAAAAGAACCAAGTTTAAACATTCTCAGGCACTTCGAAAAGAGCCTATTCTCTTTCGGCAATAAAGCAAAGAAGGAAATTACAAGCCATATAGACTCACCTTAACATGGATAATACAAACTGGGAGTTATCATCAAATGATGCTTGTTAAAGGAAATACACGATGACTGGTTGATGCTTTTGGTTAAAATGTAAAATGGATATAATAACCAGAATGGACACAGTACCATTTTTGAGAACATCAAGTGATGCTCCATACATAATTGCCTTGCAATCTCCTGCAAGATGAAATAGAAGGATACAGATATCAACGATTACATTATGGACAAATATCTAACAAGGACAAAGATGTAACACTTTGTTCAAAGGGGTTAAAAAATTTAGGAAGATAAAATAGTTAAACCAGAAGTAGAAAAAGATGCAGGTGAACCCTGATATTACTTGCGTACTTCATATTTGAATATTCTGGTAATATTAAAAAAATAAAGATAATTTTCTATGACACCCTACATATTCCATTTGAAACTAACTCTTGCTCAATCAATTTTTAGCTATCAATTTGTAAGGAATACAAATGAAGTATCAATTTAAGCACGAAAGTTTCAACTGATTATGGTTTCTCTTACTTAATAGTTGACCCTTTTATTGAACTTGATTATTCTCTTATAAACTCAGAAACTGCATTCTGCTCAACCATTCTGCTGCCATATAGTCTTCGCTTGTAATTGAGAATCAAGTTTATTGTTCCCATATCTCCATTTGACAATAAAAATAATTCTGATCTCCATTAACCTTTATATATAAATGCACAATGACATATGAAATAAAGACAGTACAACAAGCATAACAGGTAACAATGTGCACTCTTTTTTTTAAAAAAAATTCTAAAGAAGAAATTGGGGTGATTTGGCACTCTCTTCCTTTTTTTTGTTGAGATGGATGTCCTTTCTTCTTTCCAAACATAGAACTCATTGTTAAATTCATTAAGAAGCCTTTAGTTGCAGGTTTCCTTAGGAAAAATGATTTAGATTACTTTGATCAGTTGATGGGTTAGTTTCAAACACAAAATTACCACTTGCTGCCAATGGAGTACGGTTACTGCTCCCAAGGAAGTGAAAAAAGATCTCTGTGGTCTTACTCTCGGTACACGATACTATCTTTATGGAGGAGGGAATAATATGATCAACAAAGACTTGTTAAGTTTTAATACCATCTTTGTTCAGAATGTAACTGAACGTGACGAGTTGAGTCAAAATGCAGTACGCTACTGTATCGGGGGAAAAACTTTAGATCAAAACAGACAAGTGCTGTTCCCTGCTATAGGGTGAAAGGAGGCTAGCTTGCTGAGCTTGAATAATTTCTTGCAGTTCCCTTTGATCCTGGAGGAGTTAGAACTTCTAGTCCATATTTCACCTTAACAAGGGTGATCTCAACGGGAAGGAACTGATACAGGTAAAAATTGGCAATAAACTCAAAGGATATATGAGCTGAAGGTTGGTTTAGAACAAGACATGGAGGTAGCTGAGAATACGAACATGAGCTGCAAACTTAACATGATTTAGAAGTCAGAATCTAGCTGCAAGAAGCTAAGTTAGAAGTTAGTTACAACACCTGTTAAAGTCAATAAACAGTTCGATTGGTTATTTGAAGTCCAGAAAAGTCAGTAGGAGTTTTAGCTGCATTTGCACACATGTCAGCTCTTAAGGTTAACTTCCAATTTGTCCACTAATAGCATTGTATATTTTAATCAGATCAGTAAATGAAGAACTACATTTCTTTTCTTAGTTACAATTCTATCCTCTAAGTTGGACTTCTAGTTTTAGACCGCTGAACCAACATTCCCCTTCTAGAGCTGCCATAGCTCGTCAAGTCCTACCCCCATTTCTCTTCTTCAAGCTTGTGCTTTGGAACACAAAACCACAAACAAGATGCTTTGTTATACAACAACAACTACTACACACCTTAGTCCCAAACAAATCGGGCTCAACAATATGAATCCTTCCTGATGATGTTACCCATTTAAAATTGTTATACAACTTATAGTGCCTAGAAATCCAACCTGTACAACAACAACAACAAAAAAAAAAAAACTAAAAAAGGGAATTGTATTCATACCTTTAAAGCACAATTATCGTCACTGTGCAAGAGTCCATTTAGTTTAATCTGTAATCGAGATAGTGATTAATTATAATAAAACCATAAGTCTAAACAAATTTATTTTCCTATAGAAATATGTCACTGCCAATTTTCACACAAGAATGCAAAATACAAATATTGAAGATATAATACAGATAATTAATTAAACTAAATAAATACCACACAGATCATATCAAGATATTCTTGCAGTAAATCGTTGATAACCAGCTCCAAAATCTGACATAAATAATAAAAAAATAATAATTATCGAATCAAGTTTACATTTTTATCAAATTTCACAGCACAAATATTAACTTTTGTGCAAAATCTCAACCAAAAAAAAGTCTGCTGACCGGAACTTTTCCACAACCACGAGGGCCAAGAAGTAGAACCGAGTTGTTACATGCTTCAGTTGCTGAACTTGACATTATATACTTCAATTTGCTGAAACAAATAAGAGCCAAATATTAAATGTGTTTTGCTGCCTTCTGTTTTATTTTTTCTCCTAATTTGCTTGTAACTCAATTCTAATTAGTTGTGCTCCTTTGTTTTGCTTTCTTCTGTCTCGCTCCTTTGTTCTTCTTTCTTATTGTGTTTTGCCTTCTTCTGTTTTGTTTTTTAAAATTATTTTTATGCATAATTTTTGATAAATTTAATATTTAAACAATTGAGGGTATTTTAGTAAACTTATCAGTTACAGTACAGTATGATACAGTCAAACCAAACAACAAAATATTATTTAACAATAACAAACAATACAATCTATCCAAACATTGTATTCATAAAACGATACGGTACAATACGATACAATACAATACAATACATTATAAAACGATGGGGAACAATGATCCAAACAGAGTGTTAGGTCTTTGGTAGTGAGGGATTTTATTGTTGAGTTTGGAAAAATGAAGAAGAAGATAGAAACAGGGAGCCCTGCGCCGTTTTGCTTTTGTAATTTAGACAATATATTTTTTTTAATGAAGAGGGAAGGGTTTATTGGGCCAATGGCCTGGGCCTGGCTAGAATTACTGCTCAGTTGGTTTTTTCAGGGGGAAATTTGGGCCGAATTGGGTATAAGAATTAGCCCAATATCCAATTAAATCCTTTTCTTCAATTTCTTTTCTTTTCTTTAATTAAAAATCCTAAAAATAAAAATTCTAAATTATCTAAATCGCAAAATTAAACCAATTACCTAATTACAAAAGTTATAAACGCTACTTAATTCTAAATTAAAAGAGAAAAATCAATAACCTAAAAATTAAAAGGCAAAAAATGTAAAAATGAGCTATTTTTGTGGTTTTCAATTTTTATAAAATAAATAATTACTGATTAATCCTAAAAATGTAAAAATAAAGCCTAAATGCAATGCATGGTATTTTTTGATATTTTCATAATTTAAATAAAAATTAAACATTCATACAAATGCAAACAATTAAATAAATTTTACAAAAATTCCTAAAAATGGTAAATAATTGGAAGAAATCTATTTTCTTTGATTTTATAGGAGTATTTCATGTAGGACAAAAATTAGGTGCTCACATTGAGAAAAAAAACAAACCCAAATTAGCATCCATTAGAATTAAAGGTGGAGCTGACACTCAAATTTCACGTTGTTTGGAGATGGAAACTTAAAGCTTCACGTAGATGTATTCTTTTAGCCTCCATTTGTTGTTTGGCAGGAAGAGTTCTCGAAGAAATGGGCATGGAACTTGAAGATAAGTGGAGAAAGTGGAAGCCAGTTGTTTTTAACTTACCCAAATGACGGTTTTACCCTTCGTCGTCCAGAACCACTTTCACTTATTATATAGTTAAATGCTTTACGTTCCTTTCCCCTCTGTTTTTTGGTTTTGCCGTCTTCCCTTTTCTATTTTGTTATCACTAACGTTTTTTGTGTTGCATGTTGCGACTGGAATTAGCGGGAAGGAAAAATTTGATAGCATTTGGAGCTGATTTGAGGAGATTGAGTTGGAAATTTCAGCTGAAAATCGAAAAAGAACACAGTTACCCAATAGTATACTGCTACGGTATACAATATGATATAGGAGTATATAGCTATACTGCAACAGTATACTATTATAGTTTACAATATACTACAACGGTATATTGTAATAATCGAAGAAGAACGCAGTTACCTAACAGTATACCGCTACAGTATATAATATACTATAGGAGTATATAGTTATATTGCAACAGTATACTATTATAGTATACAATATATTGTTGTAGTATACTGTTGCAATATAACTATATACTCCTATAGTATATTATATACTGTAGCGGTATACTGTTAGGTNATATTGCAACAGTATACTATTATAGTATACAATATATTGTTATAGTATACTGTAAAAATATGCAATATACTGTAACAGTATGTTGTAATAGTATACAATATACTATAACAATATACTTATTACCCGTAAATCCACTTGCCTTTTCCCTTTTAATTTGCTTTAAGTTCTTACCCGGCGTGAGGGGCAAATTGAAAATGAATATATATATATATATATATATATATATATATATATATATATATATATATATATATAAAATAGTATTCTATATAATGTAACGATATACTCTTACAATTAGATCCTTTTAGAATTTTGTGAAATTTTTACTAACAACTGATATTATTTCAGTTATATACTATACTGGTATCATATGTTAGTTAATAATTTTTGGTTGTATTAGCTACATTTAATTGGTACACAATTTAATTTTTCTTTAGTAATAATATAAAAAAGAATAATAAAAAATAGTGAAAACAGTAAATGAAATTAGATTATGAAGAGAAAAAGAATATTAAAAAAAAGAAGTTAAATGAAATTAGAAAAGGAAAAAGGAAAAAAATAAGAAGAAAACGAGAAAAAAGAAAAGGAGAAAAGAAAAAAAAAAGAAAAAGAAAAAAAAAGAAAAAAGGAAAAAGAAAAGAAAAGAAAGCACAGAAATAAAAGAATTGGAGAATAAAGAAAAAATTCCCCACAAAAACTACTATGGGTAGGAAATATAATTAGTTTATGGGTAGAAAAACAAATGGGTAGACAAGGGTAAATAGTTTTGTTTTTGTGGGTAGCTGACGAGTTTCTAGCGTATATAAAATTTTAACTCGTACTCTGTCAAATAATAGTATAGAAATGTCGAACCCACAGAGATTGGTTTATCTATTCTACAGATGTTTCTTATTTTAGTTACTATTTGAGAAAATTAGAAAGAGTTGCGTTTTAAATTAACTAACTAAAAATGCATGAATGGAGCAATAGAAAATATTTTTGTTTTTCACAGATAATAAAAAGGTGTTGGGATCCTGACTTCACTTAATATTTTTATTATATAGTAGATACATTTATCCTTCAACTTCTATTTCTCATAAATGTATAAATGCCTCTCACGATTACATTTATATATTATTACTATAGTTGAACAATTAAATGCACCCCTCTCGGCTATACAAATTAATCGTTAAAATAGTAATATTAAAGAACCAGAAATATATACTCGAACTAAAGTATGCTCTTTTTAGTAAGTCCCTTTCGGTCCTACTTATAACTATTACTACAATATTCGCCTCTTTCGATTACAAATAAGTGTAGAATCAATTTTAACATATATGAGCTAGATGTCACTAAATATAGTTAACATCTATCAATACCAAAATTAAGTATTACTTCTTTTGCCTCTTTCGATTACAGAATTAGTAGAAGTTAATATGTAGTACGAAATAGATAGATGTTAACAAATTAAATAACACCCAACTATAAAGCAGATAAAATTTAAATAAAAAGTTTCAGCTCAAGCATGTGAACTTGAAGAAATAATATCTACTATTATATAAAAATATTAAGATCCGTCATTTTTCCCAACACAAGAAAAGTTACTCCATATTGGAGCCAATACCGCAACGGAAATAATCTTGCCCATTAAATAAGAAAACAGAAAGAAATATTCAAGATAATAATTCCTCCTATTTAAATAAAAACAGGAAGCAGAGTAATTTTCAATACTACAATTTATTCAGAACTAGAAATGAAGCCAGAGTAATGGCTAAAAGAAGAAACAGAAGCAAAACTAAAGAACAAAGAGAAAGGAAAAACTTTCTGCTCAATATTACACTTCTCAGATTTCTTTCCCCTTCCCTTCACGAACGATGCTCTTTATAGGCAAGCCATGACAAGGTTTTCATTGATCTTCTGGATATGAACTTGTCATGGCTGGTTGTGGCCTTGTTATGCTTGGTTATGAGCTTCTTTGGTTATGGATCGGTTATAGTTATTGTAGCCGGTTGTGAGTCGGTTTATAGTTTGTTGTAGCCGGTTGTTGAGTGTCGATTCCGTCTTTGTCATGGCAGATCATGTCTTTTCTTTAGCACAACTCATGATAAACTCGCTTTAAGCTGTCCATTTTTCTAATATTTTCTCTGTAATCTTCTCGTTCCCGGACAATACTTCTTTAAACCTTTACATGTCAATAATTTATGACTACAAAGTATGGATAAGGAGAATAATTAGAATGTATTTGTTTTTGATGTCTTTTCAGAATTATTGTCAAAAGAAAATAGCTATATGTTCAAATCAATGTAAGATCATTACGACAATCTTATATTTCAAATTCTCATACACACCACACCGTATATTCTATATAGAACTAAACAAGTTCACCCCGGCGAAGCAAACTCCACCAATCTGATAGGACGTAATACAATAATCAGCATTACAGAACAACTCTTAAACTGAAATCACGAGACCTTTCGCTGCATCTTAATAAGACACAAACGTTACATCCGTGCAAAGACAATTCAGCAGATCATATTACAACTTTAACACGTCACTCCCTATATTCAACCACTCACTGAGAGACTTTGAAATCATAATATTTCCTTAATTCCCT